CTAATGATTCATTTTAATGCATTTATAGGTCTACAGTAATGGTCTTTGTTTGCAGGTGTTTTTTTTGTTTTATATCTGATATCATTTTGCCACTGGATTAATGTGAAAATGCTTGCAGGCAGTCTGATCTTGAGTGTATATACAGATAAACGTGTGCTTCCTTCTGTCATATTAGGAGTTCCACTGAAGTCAGCATATCTGCTCATGTGTGCAGAACGTAACAGCTGTAAGATCAAGGACTAGATTTTTAATTTTCTCATTAATTAGTCTCTATGTTATCCTAGAAGGGCCTTCACATCATTAATATGACTACCATGGCAATATTTCTGTGCTATTAAAAAAATAGTTCAGAGCTGTGGCGTCCCTTATCTGCCAGGTCTTGGCTGGCATTTGCCTTCTTCCGAAAAGCATGGTCCAGCTGTGAGAGAGGTTCCCATGCTGGACTGAGGAGAGATTCGTGCGGCTGCTGGCTCCCAGGGAGAACCAGCGGATGCGTGCGTGGCAGGAGTCGTGTGGGGACGTAACAGGGTGAAACCCCATGTTCAGGGGTGTGCTGCATCGGTAGACGTGAGAAGGCAAACAAGACATGACCTCAGGCGATGGCCTTCTCTATCGTTTATTTCTGCTCCAGGGAGGAGTAGGATGTCTGAAACAGCCTTAGTCTAGCTGTTCGCTTCTACCCTATGCGTAATATAGGTACCACTTTCTCAGCAGCAGAAGCAATTTTAATAACATCTATGTTGGAGGGGTAGAAGTAGACCGTTTTGTATTGGTTAGGCAGAGTTTCTTGTTTTGGCTAAAAATATGCCATCTGCAAATCTGCTTCCTTCTGGAAAATGTCTTTTTGCATTACTTTTCAACACACTGGCTTCAGCCTCGGTGCTCCTAAATGTGTCTCGGACTACTTATGAAGAGAGGTACTTCTCAAGAGGCGTATGTGCTTGAGAATCTGGCACTCATTCAGCTCTGAAACAGGAGGAGCCAAGAGGCCAGCAGCCTACTAATATTTTTGACTTGCCACGTTCGTAGCAGGAGCAGTGAAAGAAGCAAAAACCCACGTGCCCCTGGGCCCTTGCAGAAGAAACAGGAAGAATACAAAAACCTGCTCTGGTGCTGCGGTCGAGATATTGTCCCCTGGACTTTCATTTGATTCCTGTGTCATCCCTCTCCCCTCTGACTGCTGGCTTATTATTTATCATATCATCGTCTTCATTTTGGGGCTGCTGCTGCAGCGGCCGTATGACTATGCATGCTGAATACCTCTCCTTAACACAGAGCGGGTAGACATTTGCAGAGTATCTGGTTTTCCAGTTTAGTTAGAAATGCAACTTGCTTTGCCAGCTTGCTAGGTGTGCTGGTTGGTCACTGGTTAGCCTGTTTACTATTGAATATAAATGAGGGAATAAATCATTTTGGAGAATGTCCTTACTGGTCCCAAAGAAAAAGGATGAGAAGGGAGAGCAAGCTCCCACCAGGCAGTAGTCATCTTGGCAAAGGAAAGCAAAATATATGGCCAGAAGTATGTATTTTAGTGACTTAGTTTGTGTTGTGCTACCGTAACTCTCAAACTCCTGTTTTTTTTCAACTGACTGCCATGCTGGGGAAAAGAAACAGATGTTCCCATTTATCTTTTGATGTGGCTCAAAATCATCTACATTTGCTAGCCTAAAATGACACGACATGTCATACACCACATTTTCTGTCTCCTCTGGAGTGAGTGACAGATTGTTGTTCAGTTACTAGTATAATGGCAAAACAGATACTGTGAGGACAGTTTTCACTTAAAGGAAATGCAATTGCCAACTGCTGCAGTAGTGTAAAGAGAAGGATGGCAGATACCGTAGAAGTTTTTATCATTAATAATGTCGTGGGGAAGACTCCAGAGAAATGCACTGGATCTGGCTTTTCTGACTGGAGAAGAGGAGAGCAGAAGTGAATAAAAATATGGAGAAGAGCTGGCTTACTACTCTTTTAAAATTTATTTTCAGCTCTTTGCCTTGACCATGTGCTACTTAAAGCCTTTCCATTTGCTCTGCACCCAGCTCCGATGGAGAGCAATAATTACAAAAAGGCTCATCATCTTCATCAGTAGAAGACACTTAGTGAGAGGCTCATTAGAAGGGTTTTAGAAAATGGAAAAAAGATGTTTGTCGGACTTGCAGGGATTAGTCGCTGTTCCATCCTCTAGTTTACTTTCTTATCGATGTAGTCGTACTCCCCTTCCTCCCCTTCTCCTGAGATGAAGAGATTCTCCAAGTCAGACAAAGCTTAACCCTTAGTTCTGGAAATCATTTATGTGAGCATCACTTGTGCACTCTTAATTTTTCAGTGTTTCTTAATTCTACTATTTTTTTAATTCTTCCTAGGTTTACCAAAGTCGCTCGGTAGGCACTACGCACACTTTCAAAATGCCAATCAAGATTAATTTTCATGTCATGATCCAGTCAGTCTGTTCAACTGGGTTAGCGTAAAAGAGGTGAAGCTTCTGCTTAAAGCCTTTTACGTTTTCCGTTCTAAAAGAGCAAAACGAAATGTTAGTTGGAAAACATGTTAAGAATCAAATACGTAGTGCTGTAATTATTGCTCCATTATTCCAGTTTTCCACAGTGTACCTCCAGTGAAATAATAGACTTAAAGTTGACATCATTTACTGATGATTGTGTGCATTATCTGGTAATCTGATAAACCTGCTTTTGTAGCGTACATTTGGTTTGAGAAAGTGACTTTACAAGAGATGGAAGCCCTTGGAAATAAATAGGAATCCTCCAAATACCTGATTTTAGCCAAATAACTCATTGTTATAGTCATATTTGTTTTAATGGATGTAGAAACAAGCATCGTCTAGAACGTAGTTTTGTATAAGTGAATGCAGTCAGGTAACTACTGGAATGATTTTCGGTAATGTATCGGTAGTTACTGTTTATGCCTGACCTGTTTTTAGTGAATATAAAGTCCGTCTGTGTGAAGTGAAACATGTTGCACTCATCCATAATGAAATTCTTTATGGTTTGGCACCACTTGTTTAACAGTGAAGCACTATTCTCTTTGGATCTGACTTAGTGGTAAAGATATTTCAAGTATCCTTCCGCCGTTGTGTTACGGTAGTGTCTTGAACGGACTATTCCTCACCACAGCTCCTGAGCCAGGCGACTCCGTCCCTGTGAGACACATGCTGATGCGACAAAGGATTCGCTCCTTATTTATTAATTGTTTGCTGCAAAGTTTGCAATGGCCAAAACTCAGGTTTTTGGAAAGAAAGGGGGAGGGGGAAAGGAAAATTTACCCTCTAGTCTAGCCAACTTTCTGTTTTGTGTGTGGTCCTCCTGTATCATCCTCACGCTGCGTGTGGACAGGCAGAATGATTAACAGAAAATTAAAAAAAAACCAACTAGTTTTATCAAATCATTCTGGTCACCCGTGTAATGTGATTTTTCTCCGGGTTAGACTCTCTAATGTGCGAAGAAATCACTATTGCTAGCCATCCATTTAGGCTGGTTAAGATCAGTTCCGAGAGTTACAAAGCAGCCAAGAGGCCCAAGTCCCTGCTGATGGCCACCAGCCAGCCCGGCCACAGGTGGGGTGTAAAGCTCTGCTTTTCTGGCGCCCAGCAGCTCTGTGCAGGGTCAGCCGGCAAATGCTTCTCCACTAGTCCCATCTGCTGGATGCCGAGATGTATTGCCTGCTGCGAAGAGCGGAGCAACATGCCTCTGTCTTTAAATATTAGCTAAATCCAGCAGGCTACCAGAAGGTGTACGTTTGCTTCTGAAAAGCACGCTTGCTCTTTCTTTTCCTTCTCTGCCTTAATTTCATTTCTGCTA